CATATGGGAGCCAATTTTTTTTTAATCATTGCCCCAAAAAAGTTTTCTTAAAAAGAAGATAGAAAAAGGAGAAAGGGAGAGATTTAAGTAGGAAGAAGAGAGAGAAAGAGACATTTGCTTCTGCAAGAGTTACCTTCTCATAATACTTGACTTCATATTCCAAAATCACCCCATTGGGCCGGTCTGGTTCCAGCCACGCCAGAGCAACACTGTATCTTGTAACTTCTTTAGCCTGGACCAAAGCAATGGATGATGGTGCTGTTGGGGAAAAAAGAAAAATTATTATAGGAGGGGAAAAAACATAATATTATCAGTCATCATTTCATCTTAAGAAGAGTGTGAAGATTTTTATCTTCCAACCCCTGTTTTGCTTTTGCTCAGTACAAGAGCATACCATCATATTTTGTCATTCTCTTCAGTATTTTCTTTGCTGTGTATGTATAATTTGTCTTTAAAAAGCAACTTCTAACATTAAAGATCTCTAACATCATGCTTCCATAGCTCCTCCAACTTCTTTTCATAAAAGAGAGGAGGTATGGAAAAGAATATCTGGTTTCTGACCTTTGGCAAGCCATGCCAGCCCTTGGAAGATGCCCTTCTAAACTGGGTAAAACTGCATCTCAATTCTACTTGCAGAATATTATGAGTGCCATCTTACTGGTCTTTAACTTCAAATAAGCAAGGGAATTCAGAATACTTCTGAAAGGACGGCAGGGAATGCCAGAGGCAAACAGTTTACATACTTCCCAATATAAATAAAAGCACTGCCTAATTACAGCAAGAGGTTCCAGTCCGAACACAACCACGCAAGTAATGAAGAACACAAATAAAGCCATGATAGTCTCTGTGGACATAAATGGTGTTTTGCAACTCTTTTACAGGAGTTGAAATATTGCTTTTGCCTGCTGAGCACCAAGACTTCTTTCCACCAAAAAAAAAAAAACACACACACAAACACAATCCTGGCCTGGGTATTTATTCAAGGCTGGGGAGGAGAAACACATCTATGATTTGTACAACCAGGCTGCCTGATACTGGCTTTCCCACTATGGTGGTCACATCTCTGGGCAGCTGCCAAACCAGCTCAGCAGTGATTGACAAGGCCATGGACATGCGCTCTCCAGGGAGCAGAATGAACACTGTAGTGTGCAATTTTATCCAGCAACACTGTCTGGAGAAGCAGAGATTAGGGCTTTTCCTAAACTGAACTCGGAGTCCTGTGCTCTTTCCGTCTCCCAACAGGGGGAATAACTGAGACAAAGCCAAACAATGGCCACTGAGAAATAACCACATGGTGCAAGGTCAGTCTCCTGTGGTTCTTCCTAACCTGCACAGGACAACCAACCAAGCCCCAATCCAAGGGGAGGATGAGGAAAAGGAAAACAAATGTTCAGTAAAAAATGGACAATGAGTAGCTTCAAACCTGCTGGACCATAAAGGACAGACATACTGACGGCAAGAAAAGCAGTCAGACTCCATCAGCAGAGCCAGAAAGGGCATCTTCTGATGTAGTTGGTGCCTCTGGCAGAGGGCATGAGACAGTCAGTGACACACACACACAACACACAACACACACAACACATACACACACATACCACCACCACCACCACCACCCCTCTCTCCTTCTCCCCAAAGCTATTCCAGTATGGATCTTAGAAATGAGTGCAAGTGAAAGGCACAGTGTACACACATGTCCTCCATCAAAGCAACCCCAGGGTTAGTCAGATGAAGCTGGATGCAGAATTGTATGAAGCAGACATATGGAAGCCACTGAGCTTCTGAAGAAAATGAAAACCGGAAATGTGCTCATTATCTGTATTAAGGCTCCTGCTCCCAATACACACATACACACATACTCTCTCTCTCTCTCCTCTCTCTCTCTCTTTCTCTCTCTCTCATTTTCTCTCTCTTTTACTCCTTGATACAGAGACACTGTCCAGTAAAACGCCAGTAGTGACTTTCTGACATAGATGTAGTGAGGAGGCAAAGAAGCCCGCCTGACTGTGAAAAACCATTTCACTCCAGGTAATAAATATATTCCCTCACAGAGCACTTTAGCATAGACTCCATAAAAAAGGCGCTCTTTAAACTCTGATGTTCGAGATCGGGAAATGAAATAGAAAAGCGAGGCTGTTATAAAGGAAGCAGGAGGGAGGAAAAATCATAAAGTCATAGAATGAACTTGCTCTCAGAAATGGTCTGGGTCAGATTCTGTTCATCGACAGATTGTTCAGCAGAGAATTGCCTGGCTGCCCTTGGGGTGCGGGATGAACTAAGATGGTTCCTCTCCTGTGGGGTTATCACTAAGCTGTAGCACGTAGGAAATGAATCTGATTTCCCTTTCAGAAGCTGGAGCCTCAGTCAGTGCCTCTGCACCCATTCAAAGAGAATGTAAGCGCAATCAAAAGTATTCCAATTCCCATCAGGGAGTTCAAAGTAGAATCCTGTGAACTAAAAAGTTTTCTGATGCCGTTCTCCTTGGAGCATTCAGATGCACGAATGTGAAAATAAACCAACAGAGGATACCGATCCATTTGTCATAAACATGAGCAGAACACAAAACTCTAATTCACAAAAAGCATCATAATGTGAAGGTATGAAGTCTGAATTCTTTCTGTACAGAGGTTTTTCCCAGAAGAGTGTTTTTTATCAGGTTTCCAAGATAAAAGCAATCCGTGATCACGTGTGATGGGGAACCTATTGAAAACACGCAAAGGAATTGAAGTATAATATGATAGCCAGCCCCCAACACCTTCGTGTAATCAGAACACCAGCTGGGGACAAAGATGGACTTAGTCTCAGTGACAATGAAGAAAAGAGGCAAGTTGAATATCCTTCGCATGGTAAGAGACAGAAAGGTAAGTCTTGCTTGCCTTTCATACCAGGCTTCCACCACAATCTCCCACTCCTACACATCTGGAAGCCATCACCTCTGTATGAGCCTGCCTGGGGCTTGCTTCCCTAGAGGAGGCATTTGGTAACTGCACTTCTCAATCATTTTCCTACCCCAGTGGATCTCAGGCATCCGTCTTCTTATGCCATCCATGTAACTGCTGCCACCTCCCTCTACAACTGGTGACTGTGATTTAGTACAATTTTTTCTTAAAGCATTAGAAAACTCCCCTCTCTGGCATAAGTGAATTCCTGTTATCACCCACCATGAATGATAGTTCACGATAAATGAGAAAATAACATATAAGTAAAGTAAAGCTATCAACGCTGATCAGACACTCTTGACTTCTCCATTCCTTTTTGCCAAAAACCCCAAAATGAGTCTGTACTAGAAAAGCATTATCCTGCACTAACAGGAAATAGATTTAAGAACTGAAAAGGTACTACTCTCTTTGCCATAAGATCTTATGTGCTGTATTATGTGCTGATCCATCTGGGTTTTCCCTAAAATGCCTGATGCCGCTACTTTGATAAACACTGCCAACCCCTGCTCATTTTAGAAATGTTTGAGATACTGAGACCCAACACTCCAAGACTCTAACAGAATTACAAGAGGCAATACTAGACCAATAAAATGACAGATTGAACTCACATTTCCAATTCATGGTTCAGGAGGGTCTCAGACCATTCAAACAAAACTACTAATCAGAGTGAAAATTGTCATTAACATACAAAAGACCTAGCCTGGAAAAAAGTACTTACTTGCCTCTTCATTCTATAATTTACATCCTGTAACTGTGGAGAGACACACTTTTTTCTTGAGGACAAACACAATGAGCACCAATGGAACAAGGAAAAGATAAGAAAGGGCAAATGAAACTGAATTGAACACAATTCTTGATATATTAAGCACCGCCTTATCCCTGAGAATTAAAAAGAAAAGGATAGGAATGTTTTATAATAGTTTTTACAGAGATGGTAAGCACCAATACCAAAGCAGAGGGCCCATTTCTACAAGTTCAGGATAGGGAGATTTTGCTGACCCTCTTATCGGAAGTTTTTCTTGGGGAAGTAGAGAAGGAAGAGGTGGGAAATCCCCATCATGGAGCCTCTGGATATCTTAAGCACCTGCAGAAGAGTCAGAGGAAGAAACCAGGAGGAAGCCATGGGATGATGTAAGTATTTTCACTCCAAGCAAGAGAGGCATCTGAGACTGGGAAGCATTCCTATCTACCCACAGACTTCCTTCATAAAAGAGATGTTGGCTTTGAGGAACGTTTTGTGCTCCTGGACATCAGCAAGCGTTCTTTAATGGCTACATTTCAACATGCAACAAGAAGAGCTGGTCATGCTAGTTGGCAGTTGTACACTTAGAGAAAGGTGACTGATGGGTATAGAAATCACAAAGGCAAGAGCTGCTAAAGGCAGAATTTGTTCGTTCAATTAAGTCCTTAATTCTTGAGTGTTTGTAGCAGTATTTTCAACCAACCAATGTTCACTTTCCTGTCCTGAGATGTGAGTGTCTGATGCCACTTTTTTCATTTTAGGTTCAAGGGGATGTTAGTCTTTTTTAATCCAGACCAGATTCTCCATTCCCTCTCCTTCTTACTCACAAATCATGCTTTCATATCTGATTAATCATTCAAGCAATATCCTGTAAGCTTTTGCTTGAGGAACTTACCATCTAAATTAGAGTGAAACAGACCTGTATGTTCAAAAAAAATCAAACAGTCTTTGGCTGAATACAAACAGTGCTTGGACAAAAAGCCAGAACAGGAAGGAAAGCACTGTGAATTGCAGAAAGAAAAGATGATGTGGAGTGATGTTGGCGAAGTGTGGTCTAGACTGGCAAGGGCAAACACGGAGAAAGAAAGCCAAGTTGGGGGAATATTTCCTCTAAAATTTGGTTTGTACGTGCTGAGGAAAGGTCATGTGCTCTGGAGATCATATGCAATGTCAGGGATGGGATTAAAGAAAGCCGTATGCAAGGCAAGAGACTTAACCCGTGTACAATATCTTGGGTTTCTCCTTTAATTTTGAGGAGATCACTAGCAGCCTATATCCTTGGGCGTAGAAGGATCATCTGGATGTGCAAAATGAGGTCAAGATTCAAAAGGAAACACTTGAAATGTATAAATAGCCTTCACTTCATTAAGTTGACAGGGAAAAGCAATAAATTTAAGAATGAAATATTCGCCATTTTACATTTACTCGTTGCCATTTTGGAAAAGTCATTCAAACTGGGTGACTTCAGCTTCTACAGGTCAACTATTAGAATGCTGGCTTCTTCTGTTAAGAGCTTTGCCTTCTTTATCTCTGTGTTTCTACCACTGTCCTTTCTCTTGGTTGCAAAATGGATGTGCAAG